CCCCCCTCCCTGATGATATACTGCCCAGCTCAGCATATCAGATTGTTTTTGCACTTCAGAAAAATTTCACTAATTTTTGTCTTTAAATTTGGAGTTACTTGTATGTAGGCATACTTCACTGGGAAAAAATTTCAACCCCCCCCCCTCCATCCTCCTCCCTTAGGATGTACTTGCTGCTTCCCAGCTCATAGTTATTCACCCTACGATAGCATACTAGACTGTTAAATATGAACTTCAGAAAAATGTGAAAAAAATATTAAGATGAATGAGTTAAGAAATTCCTCTTGTTCTTTGATAAGTCAAATTCACTTGAACTTTACTTTAGAAAAGAAAGATAAGCATCCAAATTTAGTTAAATGATAAAAGTCACTCAAATTGATGCTAAACCCAAAGGAATTGCAAAATAATAGCAAACTAAAATCTTGCACAGATTTTTCAGTAAAATTTACTAAAATAAACTGAGAGGAAACTCATAAGAGTGCGAGGTGGCATTTTACTTTTTAAAAAGAAAAAAAAAATTGTCTTTAACCCCGATATTATACCTAACTTTTTTAAGAGTTTGCTCTTTGAAATTTACAAGTTCCTTAACTCTTTTTTACTCGCAGCCAATGTTACTATGGTGAGGCTTGCAAACCTTCTTTGAGTGCTGAACACGTAAATGAATCTGAATAATAAAACATTACTTACCTGGTACAACTAATGCGATAAATTCAAAATTTCCAATTCTCACATGCGAGGTGTACACATCATGTCTAGTGAGATTTTAATCGTGAACAAATATGGACTTGGGGTCAGCTCTTGCTTAATTTGGAGGGAGAAAAACACGTACCTCAGCTCGTTAGCTTCCTTGCTTATTTTATGTCTTGAGAGAGATGAGAGCATCCAGTATTTGAGTTAATTTTTTAACCAGAATAAGTATAAATTCTTCAAAACAAAAACAGAGGAATCACACAAAATATTAGTGCAAATAATTAGGAAACAAGAATCCTGAGCAACAGTTTATACGATCACACATCAAAGATGTTTTTTACATCAATTTTATTTTTTAATTTTGGAGAGAATACTTTAAAATTTGTGAAGCATCTAAACTTGAGTTGTCGACATCTCTTTGTTGGGGCCCTACCCTACATTAATGTATTAATTAGTAAAGGTACTGATCATTTTTCTAAAAGACGACAAATAAAGTACTTCAAACTGACAGGGTCACCCACAGAGCTCCTTCAAACATGCTTGTATATTACAACATTTTTCAAAAGTTTGGGGGTGAAAAAAGTATAAGTCACCAGGAGAGAATAATAATATCTACTTTTGGGTGTCAAGTTAATGGACACTAAACTAAAATAAGGTAATTGGCGATTCAAATTGATCCCCATACTCCAACTATGAGAGAAAAATAAGGAGATTAAAATTTTCTAAAGGGAAAGGACCTAACAAAGATAACCTGCAGAGACGTCTAGTCAGGGCTCAATTAAGTAGAGTCACCTGTAGAAAAAGTAGTGACTAAAGATCAAATTTTCAATGGAAAAATGGGTGGATCTGTACAAAAAAAATTATCTTGATAAATACCTAATAGCTTGGGCTTTTGCATGTTTAAGTTTTTCAAAAGAGAGCACTTTTTTTCCACTCATCTCAAATCTTTTTCAACTTCTTTCCGGTTCGGGTAAACTGAACTCCCATATACACAGCGTTATTTTCAACACATTAAGCTAGTTACACCTTTGGGATTATGAATGTATGATGTGTGCGTATTGAGGAAAATTCATGAGTCCTTCATTTTGTGTCAAAAATTTAGCTCCGATTACAATAATGGTAAAAATGCTACGGTAGAAGGTTATTCAACATCTGTTAATTGATAAAAAGATCAAGAAAATGGATGCATTTAATTATTGGCAATAAAACAAAGTCAAAGCATCTATCTCTTTTTTTTTTGATCAAGTCTTTGAGCTACCTTCAAATTATGGAAAGGTAAAATCAGCATTACTCTTGAGTACTCATAAAAAGGAAGAAGATGTTATATGATGAAACGAACAGAGGCTATCTATTTGTACATTTTAGGGAGAGAAAATGTTACCAAAAGCTTTGAAATTTTTGACTGAAGGAGTCTAATTTCAGTGGCTGAAGTGCAGAACCATGTATCTCTATTGCAATGTTTCAAAATTTCGGCTCTTATCTTATTTTACTAAGAAAAACAAGCTGACTTCAGAGCTTGAAAAATATTTTGCTGACAGAGAAGAAAAATTAAGGAAGTTTACAAGAAATAAAGTTGAGTAAGTTTTCAAAGAAAAAATAAAGTATGACAGGAAGTCTGCAACATTACAAAAGAAGATATGTGGTTTCACACTTTGCCCATCGAATTACAGTATGTAGTTTAAAGAATGGACAAAAAACAGGAAATATGATGAAAAATCAATATGATCCACTTTAATAGAGCATTCAAGATAAAAATTTGTTGACTAAAGATTAGTTAGTATATATACTAAAATGATTAAGGTACTGGATTTAAACGTAATAGGGCAAATGTTCGCCCTTCACTTATAGCTGACAGACAATCTGGGGGTGTATATACATTCATAGACATTAAAATACAAATCGTAGTCATAGTATCACATATTATAAAGAATTGAAGATAATATCAGATTACAAAAATTAAGGAGCTTGCAGAGAAAATAAATGCAGCTTTATTTAGGCGCCTCTTAGCCTCAATGAAAATCTACCTATTCGGCAATTGAAGGTAAAAATTTACATCAGCAAAAAAGAAGCAGGGGCAACTTACTTAAGTCTGTTTTAAAAAGGTCAAAAATTTAAATACAATTTGTTACTGTTGAATTTTTACACAATTTGCACTAGTTCAAAAGACTTCCTTCACAATAATTTAGGCTTGACTTCTTCAATAAAACGTAACAAAGAACAAGGATGTGAAAATTGGAACTTGGTACTTAAAAACAAATTCCTTAAAAGAATTAGCAGAAGCGGCATTTCTTCGATAACATGGAACGACAGTGTATAAGCATTATTAGACCATTATAATGAATAGTACAGTGGTCAAAGTATTTTATAGAGAAAATACAGGAAGTGGCAATAAAAGAATAATAAAAAATGAATACACCTCTTTACATCAAAGCAAATACGCACAGATCTAAATTAAATGACATTTTAACAAGATGGGGCTGACACAATATGGGATGAAGCAATATGTGCGTCGTGCTGCCGCCTTATTCTCATAGAAACTAGCTGTCACAATTAAATCTCCAGATTTTTCGAACAAACTAAATAATTTTACTAAACTTTTCAAATTGTGAATATCTACAAAAAACTATGATTACTTCTGGTCATTTGAGCAGCAATTTTAACATGAAAAAACTGTTCTGCATGGAAAGCTTTCCAAACTATTCAACTACAAAGATTAACCCTGGAAACAATGATTACTTTACAATAATAATCTCGCTCCTCCATTCAGAAAAAATTCTCTTGATGGGTGACTTCTGATGAAATCCCCAAACGTTTTCCAAAGAAAAGGATCCGTGCACAGCTATCAAACTGAGGCCTGTAAAACCTAAGCTTGAATACCTCAAAATCATTACACTGAACCGCCAAATGCTTAGAGCTTTAATTTATGACATTAAGAGGACTGACGTGAGAGAGTTTCATTAAATAAAATCGGAGAGAAGTATTCTCTTGAGAATTTTACTCATTCATTTTCATGTGTTCCTTGACTCAAGACTTTTAATGCAAAAATAAAAATAAAAAAAATTACTGTTACTGCATCCTGTTACAATATTCAAGGTTTTCTGACAGATACAGAGTTTTAAAAAAACCCATTGCATAAGTTCCATTGAATTAACATAACAGCAGGCAGAAATTTTAGAATTACTACAAACTTCTGGGCAGACCTTTGGACCACTCTCAAAAAAGAAATATACTGTAGTTCAGTGTGAAATTGATTCTTTTTACATAGTACAAGCTCCAAAGATAGTTATATAATAGTAATAAGTAATAATAAATAAAGGCATACATTCTAAAATAAATAGATAAGTAAATGAATCCCTACACTTGGATGCATGTAGTTATAAATGTAAATTATATGATAAGATGAAGACACTTATCAAAAATAACACATCTCCGAACCAGAATGAAAAAGACTGGGGAAAAAATCCAGTAAGAGGGCAAAAGCAGTAACTACCTTCGAGAACTAGGATGAATATCGACTTGGTAAAATTCCTGCAATATGTTTGAAGAGGTAAGGAATAGAATCAAAATATTTGACTCCCCTAAAACCAAATAACCATATGGATAACTACATAGTTCTTATGGCACATAGAATTTGTAAAAACGGTCCAACATTTAGATTCATTCATGATGATAACCTTATTTTTTAGATAACACGAGACAGAAAGATTCCACTTTGAGCTAGTAACTCATGTAAATTCAATCAGCAATCAAATTAATGAAAGGTGGGAAAATGCTGCTTAAGTATTTAATATATTTTGTGTTAAAAGAAGTTCTGGAATAATGCGTCTATGTGTCATTGTTAAACTTAACCCTCCTTACCTCCAATGTCAGCAGACAAAAAGTAGATGGAGATAGAACTTACTGTCTAATCATGGGACACTGAATGCTCAAAAGTTTCAACCTAATCAATTATATCTTCACTTTAGTTTCACAAGTAATAGAGGTTGGTGATAAAAAAGAAAGCAAACTCTTAAATCAAGAATTACAAAACTGATGACTTAAAACTTTCATGTTCAATGACTTCTTTGTAACTTGATTTAAAACTGAATTTACGATTCTGCTTTCGAAATTCGAGGGAAGAAAAAAAGAAAAAAGAGAAAGGAAAAAACCTGTTGCTCTTCAGTATTTATCACCTACGGGAGACACTATTCAAATCAATTTTAGGATAATTACTCTGAATAGAACATGAATGAAATAAGCAACATTTACATGAGAAAAAAAATCAGTTTTCAAATTTTTTCATTAACATCAACATGAATTCTACTGAAATTTTTTTTAAAAAAGAAAAGAAAAAGAGTTTTACTAGGACATTCAAAAATTTCTCTATAACAACTGAGACAGAATAACAACAAAATTATTTACTTATGCCAAAAATCTGCACAATTTCAAAGGAAAAGAGCCTACGTATATACAACAAGCATGGATGAAATCCATTCAATCTCCTATAAGTCTCAAGCCTCCTAAAAAGTAAGGAGCACCATTAATTTGAAAGAAGTGCCCAAATTTGGACAGTGTCCTTCATTAACGATTAAAGTATGAATAAATGAGAAAACTAGTTAAATATATTTTACAAAATGATTGGATTGTTGCAAAAATTGGAACAACATCAATCCACATAGGTCAATCATTATGCATCTTATTGAGGCCCATTTCCCTGCACAACCTTCACTCAGCCAACACATGTATGATGTAGAATTGACTTCTCCCACACATCTCATGCATTGCATTTAAATTTCCCAACGTCAATGCACAGAGGGATCTCAAAACTTTTCTATGGGAATGACTGACCTACGTGGATTGGTCTTAGATTAGAATTTTTCAATCTGCAATGTTTCTACCGTATGAATACAGAAACTTTTGGCAGCACGATCTTAAAATCAATGTTCTTACGCATTGCAGACTAATTGCATCTATTTGAACATCTGCTTATTTTTCTTGGTGGACACCACACTTTGGACTTCGGTCTACACAGTGCTACTAGTGCTATTGATGTATTATACAAAAGAAAAAAAATTACTGAGGTTTGGCTGTCAGCAACAGTTCCATCAAAAATAAATATACTTGGAACCTGCTACATATTTAATGTAGCTCTCCCTGCATTATTTTCAGCTTTCCTCTTTAATGGTCAATCACAAGGATGCCTGGAGAGAGGAATTTTAAGAGGGGGGAAAAAAGGCTGATGCAGCAGATTAAGTTCGAAGGCCCATCAAAAGAAATACAAAAGGAGATCTACCAATTCATACTAAACTAGAAAATCCGAGGCGATTAATGTGTAACTTCCTGTTCCAAATTTATAGATTCACTTGGCATTAAGGAGTTGCACATACTGCACAATTGATCGGCCTAAGTGGTACACATTCTAAGAGATCCATAAGAAGTGCACTGAAACGACTAACATTGACACAAGATGGATAAATACACGAGTTACACTTCACTTAGCCTACATTCACTTGATTCTTGATTTAGTTTCTGATTTTGAAACATTGGCTGAAACATTTTCAGACCTAATTTTGTTGGAATTTCAGGAGCACCTGTTATCCTTCGTCGATGAGGTGGGTTTGTCAAAAATTTGTAGGAGAGTGCTAGTGTTGTCTTGTAATAAAGCATCTAAATCAACTTCTTGAAGATTAATACCATGGGCAGCACCTGTAAAGTAATAAAGATCTTCATGAGTCAAACATTTTGGGGAAATGAAATGTGCAAAATGAACAGCAGTTGGCGAAAAAAAGCTAACTACATTGAGAGCTTTCAAAAACCATATGCTTCTCAGGTTAACTATTGTTTACGTCACTAGAAGAGTTTAAAAAAATGAGTTGTAATTGTTGCACAGCAAGAAGTGGGCTGTCTTGTTACATAGTACAATAATGAAACCAATAGTGGTGTACAACATGTATACATACAGAATATTCTTCAGAGGGCAGAAAAAATACAAGAAAATTTGACTTCACAACCTGAGATGCCCGATTTTGAACTTCAAACTCAGCTAAAAAATCACTAAATTGAAAAATTGGCCTCTAGACTAAGGCCCCTGCTCCTATAGGTAGTCTTTGAAGATAAAAAAAATACCCTGAGCATTCAGCTACAACTTAGATGGATAGGACATTAACCTATTTTAAATCTCTTTGTAAAATTTTCCTTTTCTTACGTGTGCTCAAACACTAAGATTACCTACTTCTTGGGCAGTTACATAGGACTTTTCCATACAAACTTCATGGGGTTTCTTTGGTTTAAACCTGATTTTTGAATACCTCTAATACAGGTACTTGCTGTAGAATAGTTTTCAAACTTGAGTATTCTTGTTAATCAGCTGTGTAGTGCCTATCACCATGATGATTGTGCTTTCTCAGGAGTATCTACAGAGTACAGTGTTGAATAAGCGCCAGTGGGTTGATGACAGTCTTTGGCAGCAGAGATGCAGAATCTTTCAAGCTTCCACATTTTTATGCACCCACCTGCCAGCTTTTCACATTTTTTTTATCAGCTTTCGATAAAATGGTCAACCAATGACCTTCTTTTTTAACTTTTGATCCTTAAAATTTTCCCTCATTTCATGTTCTTAAAGCCTTCCCACAGTTCTCACATTTACATGCGCCCATAGGGCATTTCTGGCATCTCCGTTGAGCAGTTCCCTGTAGGCTATAGTTTTTTGATCATGATTCTAATTAACAATCCATGATTCAGAGGTTGTGGTAGAGAAATTATGATTGGCAATTATACAGAAACCATACCTGATTTTTTGTGAAAATCCTCCAGAGAGGTTTGGAGCCCCTCCCCCAGAAATTAAATCATATTTTGGTAAAAATAAAAAATGGTACATTTTCAAAGTTCCCCTCAACATGAGGAAATAATGTAGTCTAAATTGGAATTGGTTGAATTTTCTTAAATTTTCATCAAGATAAGTATGCACATGTATCCTTGTTTGAAATCTTATATAATTGGAGAGTCGTCTGAGCAAACTACAAATCAATATCTTGATTTCTTAAAAGGTTATGAGGCAAAGTCTCTGACTGGTTTTTCAACTTTGAAACCCCACCCATTGACCAGATTTTTTTGAGAAGGCAAAATAGTAGGAGAAGATGCTCCTTGGTATATTCTTTCAAAACACCAAAAATTAACAATAATCAGACAGGGGAATAATGATTATTTTGCATCAAATTCTTTTCTGGAGTATTTAAATTAGCCAACAATTTGAAAAATACTTCAACATACCTGCATGTGCTAGGAAAAGATCTTTCAAGAATCCTAGCTCCTTACTAAGTAGCTTGATTTTTTCTTCCAGCATGTCGTTTTCACTTTTCAACTCTTGCACCCGCTGTAATGTTTCTTGAGTCCGCAAACGACTCTTTACACGACTTTTCTTCACAGCCTGAAAAATTACAAAATAGGACTCATTAACATTAGAAAATGAAAAATAAATTATAAATTTACAATAATACAATAATAATCAGTATAGCTACTAAATTATTAGTTCTTAGAAGCCTTAATCAGTGCACTAATCACTGGCACTGTGATATACAAAAAAAAAAAAAAAAAAAAAAAAAAAAAAAAGACATCTTTCACTATGTACTTGTTGCTTCTTAAAGAATCACACACCAATGCATGTGGGCAAAAGCAATCGATAGAATGCTGAATAACAGTATGTAAACCATAGTATCTGGAACCCTTGGTGAAAATTTCAAGGCTTGAAACTGAAAACACTCATTTGTGCGTTAAAATTTGCTTAGCAGGCTTATTTTGTCAAGCCCAGCTCTGAACTGTAAATCGAGAAATCGGGAGTTTTCTGCTTACTCATGATAGGTCTTCATTTTGTTGTTAAGTACCCAAAGGTAGCCCATGGCTCTTCTCAAAACTGTTACAAACATGGACTTTGAAAAAGGAAACTAGAAGTTTTCCATGGTCAAAAACTTTACACAGTATTGTGAGGTTTTGTTCCTTTGGTGTGACTGATAAACAGTTTAAAACAAGTCTGCTGGTTAGAGACAAAGAATGAGCTTCATACCTGATTATTTCTATCTCTTTTCTTTCGGTACTCATCTTCACTGCTCTCGAGATCTGCAGGATGGGGATCCTGATCAACGGACTTGCGTTTGGTGGCACACCGGCTCCCGGAGCCCTCTTTGTTCCTTGGAGACATGATGTCTCAAAGTTCTGGAAAAACAAAATCACAGCATGAAACTTGGCACCATACAAGAAAAACAGAAGTAATAGCAAAGGCGAAACCATGCTCGGTTACATTTTGCTCAGAAAGAAGTCATGAAAAATTTCTATCGGTTATTTTAAAGCAAGATGGTAGAAAGTATGATAGATTCCAGCTGAAAAAACTCAAGTATCCTCATGAAACTCATACTGAATGCTTCTTCCTCCAAAACGAAGTATTGTGACTTGTACGAATATGCTGAATTTATTCTTGTGACTTGAATTCAAAATTTGCAATTTTTAGATTAACCTTGAATTCTTTACGGAATTGATGCAATATGTCACAGACCGGTTTGACCAAGCCATGATGTACTAGGTACAAAACACCTATGAACATTTAAAATACTTCAAATAAAAGACAAATCAATGTCTTTTGAATTTTAAACCTTCCTTGCCAAAATTAACTCACTCTCTCGCTTCTCAAGTTTTTGAAGTCAACGACCTGCCATGCTACCACTATCAATGAGAAAAAAAACACTAAGAAGTGGTCTTAAATGTATGTAACAAATTGGGGAAATGGTGCTGGGTCCACACCATTTCACGGGGAAAACAAAGTCAATAAGAAGTTACAAAAATTATAATTAGTGTTGAAAATAAATTGTTTTTTATTTTTGTTCAGTAAATTTAAATTCTTTTTTTTTCCAGCAGCGACAGTAGATGGCGCAAGGATCACACTTTTGTATCATGCCTCGGGTCATATTCATGACGGCGTTTTAATGCCATCTTGGATTTTGCGGGATGGTAAGTTGGGTTCACTGAGGAGTGTGATCTACTGATGAGGTCCAAAAAGACCCAAACCGGTATGAATCTCTTGGCGTGACCTCAACTTAAAATTCTAATGCAAACTGCCTGAGCTGAACACTTTCCCCCTCACTTTTGTACTGATACTCAGTAGAGTTAAAAAAATGTATTTTTGACTCTAATTATAATTTTTGGGACTTCTTAGCTAGATTTCCCCGAGAAATGGTGTGGACCCAGCACCATTTCTCCACCTTGCTACCATTGTCATCTACCTGTGTCCTAATTTAGAATAAAATTACAGTTTGCTAAAAGTCTTGATGGTTCAGTTCCTTCAGTATCATCCACAGGCCATGCACTTTAGACCAGAAAGGGCCTGGAGTCCAAGCCTAATAAGTTTACACACTTTCAAATTGCAGCAGAGAATCTGCCATCTTGCTTCCTGCATTTACTAGGGATGGCGATGTTTTCGAATAAATCGATTTTGTGCAATCGATTTGATTTTCGGTAGAAAATCGATTCGATTTTAAAATCGGATGGAAAAAATCAATTTAAGGTATAATCGATTTTCTTCGAAATCAATTTTAAAACACTTGTAAATCCACCTTCAACGCTAAAAACAAATTTGAACCTTGAAATAAAACTCGGGTTTCACAGAATTTAGGCCTTTTTGTGCCACATTAACGTAGAAAATTTCGATTTTTTTTAATAATTCGATTTCTGCTCGAAAAATTTCGATTAAAAATCGACAACCAAAAATCGATTCGATTTTTCCGATTATTTTTTCAAAAAAATCGATTTACCGAAATAATCGATTTGACATCGCCATCACTAGCATTTACTTTACATGTAGGAATGACAACAGACAATCTTCTGTCACAGTCTAAAAGTGCGTAAACTTATGAGACATTGAGACATGGACTCTAATATTCTAACAGAGACGATGTAGCCTCTGGAGGTCATCAAGTAGTTTAGTTGTCTTAGAGGGAGGCAGAAAAAAATCCAATTGCTGAGCTCAATAAAACCTCTGAATTCTCCTAGCACTTGAGAGGTCATGTGCTCCCACCCTGAGAGGAGAGGCGCAAGTAGTGCGGATCAGCAGGTTTGTATAGGTTATGACACGATACTTACACTAAACATGCATCCATGACACCAATTTCGGCTGTTAAAGACACAAAATATCAGTGACAGCAGGTAACTGAATCAAAGTTCAAAAGTCAAAAATTTCATCAGAATAATGTGAGATTACATTTGGATACTGAAATCAATAGTTTCAGGTTCTGACTACCAACTGGCAAGGAGTTACATAGGAAGGATCCTTACAGAACAACATCAATAAAATTACCTAACATTACTTACAACGTAGAAGTCTCAGTTAACTAGGCGGATAATATAAACTGATAATCGACCGAGGGTCCACAGACAAAGAATCCGTTAAAATCCTTCAACAATAATTTTAAGTCGTAGAGTAGAGCATGGATAAACAAAAGATCAACGAATATTTAAAATAAAATAGAGACGCCGATGATAAAATTTCTGCTCCTCGAAACTTACCAGATGATAATAAGTGAAGATAAATGATCCCAAGGCGAAGAAAACACTCGGAGGAATAAAAAGCCGCTATAGTAACACTGAAACACTTGACAATTCTGAAATGGCAAGACACATTTCAATGAAAATGACGCAATATGGCGTTTCGTTTCGCTGGCGGCTGGCGTTGTTTCGTATTTGTCCTTGAAATTTAAGAACGATGACTGGATGACGTCATGATGAAATTTCAGCCAATGAGAGAGCAAGGTACTTACGTACGTACGCAAGAATAGATTCATGAGTGGAGGGGTGGGGTACTTGCGAAAATTCAGAAGTGCTCATACTTATCATTAATAATTTTAATGATTCCATGTGAGGTAGTCCGGTTTTTTGACTCATCTACAAAACTCCTGCGATACTGAATCGCCACAGATTTCCACAGCTCAGATTTGTCATAAGGATAAAAAACCTTGTAATCACGCGGACGCCACCCTCTGGAAAGAGAGGGGAGGGGGCGAAGACAGAGGCGCTACGGCTACTGGAAGTCCGCCGCCCTTGACACGAAAAATATTATTTTTTGGGCGCGACAGACAATGTTGACCTAAAAACCTCTCCATGTGAAAATAGTATTGGTTTCCATCAAACCTCCCCACCAACTTCTCGTACAAAAATCAGGGCCTGACTGAAGTTTTTAGTGCCCTGAGCTAAACTTCGGTTGACGCCCCTACCGCAGGGGATTACCTCGGGG